ATTATAAATATGTTTGCTGCTTTTTGGATACTTGAATATCAAAACTAGCCAGAATTCACATCTCTAATGTAAACAGCTCATATAGTTCAGTGCTCATATAGACAACAGTAAGCATCTGTGTTTTCCAGTATTTACTGTATCTGGACCTGACAGTTCAGTACTCATATAGATGAGTGTGTGTGTGTGTGTGTGTGTGTGTGTGTGTGTGTGTGTGTGTGTGTGGTTTGTCACCAGATGGCTCAGCTATAGCCGTTATATAACTGGAGCTGTAAAGCTTTTTGCCTCATGAGCGCAGTCATATGACACGAACCGCCCTGACATGCAATCCAGAAAAACAAGCTCAAAACAATCAGTCAAATGAGAACCGCTTTGAAGTTGCTGCATAATTCAATCGTTAGGATGTGAACAAAGTCATTCCGAGCGGGTGAATCTGAAATGCACCACTCTCGAGAATCAGTAATATGGGATGGGAACCAGACTGAGAGGACTCTTACATAGAACTGCTAGTATGCTGGCCAGAAAGGCGAAGCAGAGCCCCATTATGACCACAAAGGACCTGCAGGACTGTTTAACTAACCCAGGGCTACTGAGAAGCATTGAGAAGGAAACCTTAAATGCAACCTCATCACAGAGGTCAGGTTTCTGAAACAACGTCTAGATAAACTGGCTTTTGGGAAACAGGCACTGTGGACTGATGGAGTAAAAATGAAACTATTATGCCACAATTACTCGAGGTATGCTCTGAGGAAATGAGCAGCATTTGATGAAAAGAACTACGTGCAAACTGTTGAGCGGGTGGATCTATTATTATATTTTGGGGTCAAGTGAGAGCCAGTGGCTCAGGAGACAGAAGAAGGTAGAAGAGAAGACTTTCAGCAAATTCTGGGAATGTGATGCTTAAGAAGCTGAAGCTAAAACAAGGCTGGCTTCTACAGCAGGACAATGATCCCAAACACACCTAAAAATCCACCATGAACTACTTCGAGAAACATTTAGCTAAAGCTTCTGGAGTGGCCCTTACAGTGTCCAGACTTGAACATGTCTGGGTAGATCCTTTTACACATGAGGTACTTATTATTTAGGTTTTTTTTGTTTTTTTTTAAAGCGAACTTTACACTTACGTTTGTGGGAAAATGTCCTTTTTCACGTTAAATGTCCAGAGTGGAGTGTCCAGACTTTTCTACACAGCCCAGCACACCCTTCTCACATTCTGCTCGTTGCATGTCATGCCCAGTTTCAGACTCTTTAGTCCTGTAAAAATTTAAAATGATTTTTGCCATCTGAAGCTCTGCAGAGCAGAAATGATTTTCAGGATGTTTATTGTATTCAGTCGGGCTAAAAAAGACTCAGATAATTGAGTTTGAGGCTGGACGCTGAGCAGAGCGCTCATCTGGACTCTGTCACTGACTGAAGGCCACACACACTAACACACACACGCTAACACACACACACTAACACACACACACACATTAAGCTGTGGCGGATGTGAGCTCTTAATGCTTGTTATTAACACACAGCGTGTGGAGAGCTGATGATCCTCTCAGACTCATCCTGCCCACAGAAACCGAGACCCTCACAGCGTCCAAACCAGCTCCCTGACAGCCTGAGGATAGACCTGCTGGGATAGTTTACACATTTCGTCTGTGTCTGTGTGTGTCTGTGTGTGTGTGTCTGTGTGTGTGTGTGTCTGTGTCTGTGTGTGTATGTGTGTGTGTGTGTGTGTGTGTGTGTCGTAGTGGGTGGCATGGCCAAAAAATGTATTTCATGATGTAATTAAAATTGTTTTGACTGTTTTGATGTCACAAAATACGTAATGTCTTGTATAAATATAAACAAAATATCTGTTATTAGCATTGCTGCACTTAAACGCAGTATCAGTGTCGGGATACCGATACATATGGTCGATACCAGAGCCGGTTCATGAGGAGCCTGGCCTCTTCCTATTTCCCCCGTTATATCAAAAACAGAACTGCAAAACAGCAGAGGGCGCCCACGAGGGAGTCCTCAATGAATGGGGGTGAATGGGGCTCAACGGCTAAAAACAAAAAGTTAAAATAGTTTCTAATCACCGAACCAGAACTTTCCTTTTACTACAGTAAACGGGTTTTGGGCAGCAGGACGCCAACATTACTGCTACTGAGTGCTGATTGGTTGGCGAGCGGAGCAGCTCATTGGCTGTTCGGGCTCACTGATGTCATGAACGTACATGAGGCGCCGTTTTAGACTCCTATAACTCGAGTTTAAAAGCTCTTAAAAATATAACAGCGGTGTTAAAATGTTTTATGTTGTTCTGTGTTCAGGAAATTAAAATCTTTTTATATTAAAAATGTTTAATCATTTATAAACTATAATTTTGCTCAAATGCTCCATATCAACCCATTCATTTTGGACTCGCCCGGGAGCGCCCTCTAGTGTTAGAGAAACCCGGAAGACTTTACAGAGTGTAATTCTCCTCAGTACAAGTTCTCTGTCGATGCCGCGAAGCAATTTCTGATGCATGCATGTGCTCCAGTAGACAGAACGGCAGTTTTTGGTGTTAAAGCACACAAACAGAGCCGCTTACCTGGACGACTGAACTGCTTCTCCCAGTAATCGCTCGTCTGCCGCTGTGTGGTCACTCACAGTCACCGTCACTCACAGTCTGAGTTAATGTTACTGAGAGAGCAGAAGGAACCACCGGACTCTTGGTGTAGTGAGCCTTTAGCCTCGATTTAGCCTTCATCATAGCAGCCTGCTGGCCGGGCCTGTGCGTCCTCTAGCCCTCCGTCGGTCAGCTGTATCACTCAGCAGCGGGGTCTCGCGGCCCGTCACATCAACCAGGCCAGAAAAATCACTGGAAGTCGCTGATGCTGACAGCCTGAACGACGGTGATATTTACTGAACTGACGCTCAGAGATGCAGCGCGAGTGAACAAGACACTCGTCTGAGACAAACGAGTCGAGAAATTTGGATGCGAAACAACATTCAGCTCCGTTTTCCAGCCAGAGAAGCTGCTGTGCTGATGTGTAAACACCACAGGTTTATCTGTTTACTGTTTTTAACTGTTTTACACAATAAAGATATTTTACACTTACTTAAGTTGTTAAATATGGTTCTTATTACTAATAGTATAATACATACATACATACATACATCATCTAAACCGCTTATCCTTCTGGGTCGCGGTGGGGTGCTGGAGCCTATTGATTGTATAATAGTAAATACTAAATATATACAGTATGTAAACAAAAATAAGTTTTTCTTAAGCATCTAATAAATGTAATCCAACAAGTAAATGCCGTCTAGCCAAGCTGGGTAAAATGTTTTAAAAATGTAGTAGTGTAAATATCAGGACTTATATATGAGTTAGGTTAGATACAGTTAGCGTGTGTGTGTGTGTGTGTGTGTGTGTGTGTGTGTGTGTGTGTGTGTGTGTATGACCCTATGTCCTGGCAAGGTATAAAACCATCCGTGTGTGTGCGTTTGTGTGAGAGATGTGGTGTTGATTTGTGGATTTAGTAAATCCCTCCACAGAGCCAAGCTTACACACACACACACACTCACACACACACACTCACACACACACTCACACACACACACACACACACACACAGGTATATACATCTCCATATACATACACACTCAGATGTGTAATCACTGTGGGCTGCATTATGGACAGATTAGATTGTGTATATATATACAGGCATGTGCACAGGAAGCACTCAGTGCAGGTGTGTTGTGTCTGCTGTGTGAGGGATTAGCTCTGCTCTGTTCTCACTGTGTGGGTATCATAGCCTCTTATCTCCACACACACACACACACACACACACACATATATACACCACACACACACACACACACACACATATACACACACCACACACACACACACACACACACACACACACATATACACACACACACACACACACAGACGCATACACGCATGTCAGAGCGTTTCAGGGTCACTCAGGAGTCACTGTGTGTGTGTGTGTGTGTGTGTGTGTGTGTGTGTGTGTGTATGTGTGGGTGTGTGTGTGTGTGTGTGTGTGTGTGTGGTGCTTTAGTTACCTTTCTCTCTTTTTTCTTTTTCTTGCTTTCTTCCTTTCCTTTTTATTTTTTTATATATTGTCTTGCTGTTGTACTTGCTATCTTTCTTTTTCTTTTTCCGTTTTCTTTTTTTAAACTGTCATTCTTGCTTTCTTTCTTGCTCTCTTGCTTGCTTTCTTTCTTTCCTTTTCTTTTTACCACTTTTCTTTCTTTCCTTTTCTTTTTACCGCTTTTCTTTCTTTCTCGCTCTTGCACTCTTGCTTTCTTTTTCATTCTGTCTTCTCCCATCTTTTTCTTTCTGTTTCTTTCTCTTTTTCCCAATCTTTTCTTGCTTTATTTCTTTCCTCCTCTTTTTTTCCCTTTTTTCTTGATTTCTTTCTTGCTCTCTTTCTTTCTTGTTTTTTTTGTTTTTGTATGTTTCTTTCTTATTTAGTTTCTCACTCATTCATGCTTGTCTCTCTCTCCCCGTGTCTGTGCCTTTCTGATCTATCTTCTCTAATCTCCTCATCTGCTCCTCTCTGTGTATCTGCAGGTTCTTTCTGAAGTGACTTGAGTTTGTTTTGAAATCTTTCGTTCACACTGAAGCACTTTATTCTTTCTGATGAATTGTTGTATCTGATACGCTCTGTTGAGGTGAAGCGATGCGTTCTCAGGACACATCTCTGAAGAACCGGGTTGCTCAGGTTAAAGCTGTCTCAGGTGTGGGAAACCCTGGCTCTGCTCTTCTGCACTATTAAAGGATAGTTCTGTGGAGAACAGAGCACAGGAGCTGCGAGGCTCATGTAGCTCACAAGTAATGGAAGCTCATGTACACCAATTAGCATGATGCTAACTGGATGCCTGAATCATCACTGGCCTCAAAGCGTGTGAAGGTGTTCTGTGTCTCTAATAGACGTGATTATGTGGCTTCTGACGCTGTGTGACTCACTGTTATCTATAAAAGTCTCTCTCTCTCTCTCTCTCTCTCTCAGTGTGATCGGGCGTCATGACGACAGAGGTGGGTTCAGAGCCGGAGGTAAAGAAGGAGCCGGAGAAGTGCTCGGAGGAGCCGCAGGCCGAGCAGCAGGCCGAGCAGCAGGCCGAACCCAGCGAGAGTGAGCCGAACCCGGGCGCTGACCCTGAGCCTGCCCCCGACAACCCCACCAGCCCCGACAACCCCACCAGCCCTGACAACCCCACCAGCCCTGACAACCCCACCAGCCCTGACAACGAGGAGGTAAATGATCACGAGGGCGATAGAAAAAGCTTGATTGATCTCCATCTTTGTTTATCCATTAAGCTTAATTTTACATTGTGTACTATGCGAATAGATGTGGCATTCACTGGCCACTTTATCAGAAACACCCGCCTTGTCCTTCCACTGACTGGCCACTTTATTAGAAACACCCACCTTGTACTTCCACTAACTGGCCACTTTATTAGAAACACCCACCTTGTCCTTCCACTCACTGGCCACTTTATTAGAAACACCTGCCTTGTCCTTCCACTAACTGGCCACTTTATTAGAAACACCCACCTTGTACTTCCACTCACTGGCCACTTTATTAGAAACACCTACCTTGTCCTTCCATTAACTGGTCACTTTATTAGAAACACCCACCTTGTCCTTCCACTCACTGGCCACTTTATTAGAAACACCTACCTTACAGCTGCACTGTTTAGGGATTAAATTAAAGACTGCGGTCCATCTATTGTTGCACAGTTTATCAGCCCCCCTTTATCCAGTTCATCATTGGTCATTGGTCAGGTTTTGACCACAGAACTGCTGTGGAGATATTTGCACTGCAGTGACCCTGACATAGTAGTATGGTCAGAAACTGTACACCAGTAAGGAGAGGTTTCTGATAAAGTGGTCAGTAAATGTATTTAATTTGACTGACATTTCATCTGTTTTGTTTCAGAACGCGGAGGCGGAGCCTGCAAGCCCGCCCCCGTCCAGCGGGCAGAAGAAGGAGAAGGGCATCTCTCGCTTTCTGCCTCCATGGCTTAAACGACAGAAGTCCCACAGCCAGGTGGAGCCCAAAGAAAGCTCCACCCCCAGCGACACACCCAGCCAACCGCTGACCGAGACGCAGGAAGAGGCGGAGAAAGGACAGGAAGAGGCACAGAAAGGAAAGGACGAGACGGGAAAAGCACCAGAGGAGGTGGAGAACGGACCGGAAGAGGTGGGAAAAGGGCAAGAAGAGGCGGGGCCAAAGGAAGAGGCAAAGGCAGCGTCTCCAGTCGTAGAGCAGCCACTGGAAGCGAAGGAGGTGAAAGAGGAGGTGAAGGTAGAGGAGGTGCAAGCAGAGAATAACTCCGTTGGCAGCGTGGAAACGCAGGTGAGCGTAAACTGCTGTAGAATGAATGGGTGGGGCTTAACTGCTGTGGAATTAATGGGTGGGGCTAAACTGCTGTAGAATGAATGGGCGGGGCTTAACTGCTGTAGGCTGAATGGGTGGGGCTAAACTTCTGTAGAATAAATGGGTTGGGCAAAACTGCTGTAGGCTGAATGGGCGGGGCATAACTGCTGTAGGCTGAATGGGTGGGACTAAACTGCTGTAGGCTGAACGGGCGGGGCATAACTGCTGTAGGCTGAATGGGTGGGACTAAACTGCTGTAGGCTGAATGGGTGGGGCTAAACTGCTGTAGGCTGAATGGGTGGGACTAAACTGCTGTAGGCTGAATGGGCGGGGCTAAACTTCTGTAGAATAAACGGGCGGGGCTAAACTGCTGTAGGCTGAATGGATGGGGCTAAACTTCTGTAGAATAAATGGGCGGGGCTAAACTGCTGTAGGCTGAATGGGTGGGGCTAAACTTCTGTAGAATAAATGGGCGGGGCATAACTGCTGTAGGCTGAATGGGTGGGCCTAAACTGCTGTAGAATAAATGGGCGGGGCTTAACTGCTGTAGGCTGAATGGGTGGGGCTAAACTTCTGTAGAATAAATGGGTTGGGCAAAACTGCTGTAGCTGAATGGTGGGGCTAAACTGCTGTAGGCTGAATGGGCGGGGCATAACTGCTGTAGGCTGAATGGGCGGGGCATAACTGCTGTAGGCTGAATGGGTGGGACTAAACTGCTGTAGGCTGAACGGGCGGGGCATAACTGCTGTAGGCTGAATGGGTGGGACTAAACTGCTGTAGGCTGAATGGGCGGGGCATAACTGCTGTAGCTGAATGGGTGGGACTAAACTGCTGTAGGCTGAATGGGTGGGGCTAAACTTCTGTAGAATAAATGGGCGGGGCTAAACTGCTGTAGGCTGAATGGGTGGGGCTAAACTTCTGTAGAATAAATGGACGGGGCATAACTGCTGTAGGCTGAATGGGTGGGGCTAAACTTCTGTAGAATAAATGGGCGGGGCATAACTGCTGTAGGCTGAATGGGTGGGCCTAAACTGCTGTAGAATAAATGGGCGGAGCAAAACTGCTGTAGGCTGAATGGGTGGGGCATAATTGCTGTAGGCTGAACAGCAGTTGGTGTTTTAGTGTGCTTTGACTAGCTTTGACCACACCTGAGTGACCGTAACAGTCTCTGTAGAACCGGGCTGCGTCCTGACCGTCCCAGTTTCCTCTCAGGCTCGACTCACACCAGGCTGTTCTTGGAAGGGGAAGTTAGTATAATGCTGTTATTTTGCTGTACCTGTACTGACTCGTATTGTACTCAGATGCCTGTTCTTCCAGCCAGTCATGTGACGTGGCTCGGCCAATGAGGAAGCTGGTGGAATGTGTCACTTTTTCACTTCTACATCTGTTCAGCTGTGAATGGATCTTTGGAGAATAGAGCTTCTGTAGAGCTCAGCAGCTGTTTGTCAATCAGGGTTTGTGTTCTTTAGGTCTTTAACTTGATGCTGGAGAGCTGAGTGTGTAGAATGATAGCTGGAGGGTGTGATAGATAAGAGAGAGATGGATAAAAAGATGGATAGGTGGATGGATAGATAAATAGAGGGATGGATACATGGATGTGCTTTATTGATGGATGGTTGGATGGATGGAATGCTGGATGGATGAATGTGCTTTATTGAAAGATGGATAGAGAGATGGAGGATGGATAGGTGGATGGATAGATGAAGAGAGATGTATGGTGGGTGGATGGATGTGCTTCATTGCTAGATGGATGGATGGATGGATGGATGGATGCGCTTAATTGCTAAATGGATAGAGAGATGGATGGATTGATGGATGGATGCGCTTAATTGCTAAATGGATAGAGAGATGGATGGATTGATGGATGGATGTGGTTAATTGCTAAATGGATAGAGAGATGGATGGATGGATGGATGGATGTGCTTAATTGCTAAATGGATAGAGAGATGGATGGATTGATGGATGGATGCGCTTAATTGCTAAATGGATAGAGGGATGGATGGATGGATGGATGGATGGATGGATGTGGTTAATTGCTAAATGGATAGAGAGATGGATGGATGGATGGATGTGCTTAATTGCTAAATGGATAGAGAGATGTATGGTGGATGTGTGGTGGATGGATGGATGGAAGGATGGTTGGAAGGATGGTTGGAAGGATGGTTGGAAGGATGGTTGGAAGGATGGATGGATGGATGGATGGATGTACTTAATTGCTAAATGGATAGAGATGGATAGATGGATGGATGGATGGATGTACTTAATTGCTAAATGGATAGAGAGATGGATGGATGGATGGATGGATGTGCTTAATTGCTAAATGGATAGAGAGATGGATGGATGGATGGATGTGCTTAATTGCTAAATGGATAGAGAGATGGATGGATGGATGGATGGATGTGCTTAATTGCTAAATGGATAGAGATGGATGGATGGATGGATGTGCTTAATTGCTAAATGGATAGAGAGATGGATGGATGGATGGATGGATGTGCTTAATTGCTAAATGGATAGAGATGGATGGATGGATGGATGTGCTTAATTGCTAAATGGATAGAGATGGATGGATGGATGGATGGATGGATGGATGGATGTACTTAATTGCTAAATGGATAGAGAGATGTATGGTGGGTGGGTGGATGGATGGATGGATGGATGGATGGATGTACTTAATTGCTAAATGGATAGAGATGGTTGGATGGATGGATGGATGGATGGATGGATGTACTTAATTGCTAAATGGATAGAGAGATGGATGGATGGATGTGCTTAATTGCTAAATGGATAGAGATGGATGGATGGATGGATGTGCTTAATTGCTAAATGGATAGAGATGGATGGATGGATGGATGTGCTTAATTGCTAAATGGATAGAGATGGATGGATGGATGGATGGATGTACTTAATTGCTAAATGGATAGAGAGATGGATGGATGGATGTGCTTAATTGCTAAATGGATAGAGATGGATGGATGGATGGATGGATGTACTTAATTGCTAAATGGATAGAGAGATGTATGATGGATGGATGGATGTACTTAATTGCTAAATGGATAGAGAGATGGATGGATGGATGTGCTTAATTGCTAAATGGATAGAGATGGATGGATGGATGGATGGATGTACTTAATTGCTAAATGGATAGAGAGATGTATGATGGATGGATGGATGTACTTAATTGCTAAATGGATAGAGAGATGTATGATGGATGGATGGATGGATGTACTTAATTGCTAAATGGACAGAGAGATGGGTGTGTTTGCTGTATTGACCCCAGATGGAAAGTAATGTTTGATTGTATACGTTGTTTATGCTCAGTGCTCCACAGAGAGTTTGGTTCCTAGTTCTGACTGTTCAGATCAGCGTTTTCATTCAAACAGCTGAGATTTTACTGATTACTTGTCTGTCTGGTTCTGAGCGTCGACTGAACGAAGAGCTGTAAATGCAGAGCCCCAGAATGTGATCTATTAGTGTTCTAGTTACAGAACCGCCTCCGTGTTTACAGTCCTGTGTCCATATTCATGCCTTTGTCCATCTTTTTCTTTTTTTCCCCCCTCATTTTTTAACTCTGAATCCGCCCTGTGACCTCATCTCTCAGCGATCTGCTCCAGTGGAAAACATGTGCTGGAGAAAAGGATTGCAGTGACTTTGGACCACACCACACTTTCACATCGTCACTCCAGCCGACCAGGACGACCTCACGCCTGCTGTCCTGCAGACTCACGCTGTGCTTCAGAAACGCTCTGTCCTTCTCTCTGCCTTTCTGACTGACACCTGCTTTTCTGTCTTCAGCCCGTGAAGGAGGAGAAGGAGGGAGATTCGGAGGAGAAGAAGGGAGAGAAAGGAGCAGAAGAGGCGCAGGAGAGCGGCGGTCTGTCTCCTCTGAAACTGGGAAAGAAGATGAAGATCGTGGTGTGTCATGTGACCCTGCTGGACGGCACCCAGTTCTCCTGCGAAGTGGAGGTAAGAGCCTCTGAGCGCCATGCTGCCCGTGAGCGTGTTTTTCTTTGCCGGTTTGCGGTCACTCACCATGTTCAAGCCTGAGCTTCAGGTCACACGTTGATGTTTGTGCCCGGCCACTTTATTAGAAACCCCTCCCTCGTAGCTCCACCTTGCTGGTGCACAGATGTGTAGCTCAACCGTTGATGCACTCTTTCTCTGTTCTCCATCTTCTAGCCCTTCAGTGGTCAGTTTCTGACCACAGATCTGCTCTTGGCTGGATATTTTGGGACCAACGCCCAAATAATGTCTGGACGATAGTGGCCATATAATCAGAAACTGACCATTGATGAATAAGGTGGAGGGGTAGCAACAGATGTACTACAGTCTGTAACTGTACACGTACACAGTGCAGCTATGGTAGATGTTTCTAATAAACTGGCCCATTAGCGGAAGCACTATGTGGGTGTTTCTAATAAAGTGGCCAGTTAGTGGAAGGACAAGCTAGGTGTTTCTAATAAAGTGGCCAGTTAGTGGAATCACAAGGTAGGTGTTTCTAATAAAATGGCCAGTCAGTGGAAGGACAAGCTAGGTGTTTCTAATAAAGTGGCCAGTGAGTGGAATCACAAGGTAGGTGTTTCTGATATAGTGGCCAGTTAGTGGAAGCATAAGGTAGGTGTTTCTAATAAAATGGCCAGTTAGTGGAAGCACAAGGTAGGTGTTTCTAATAAAGTGGCCAGTTAGTGGAAGCATAAGGTAGGTGTTTCTAATAAAGTGGCCAGTGAGTGGAAGCATAAGGTAGGTGTTTCTAATAAAGTGGCCAGTTAGTGGAAGCACAAGGTAGGTGTTTCTGATAAAGTGGCCAGTTAGTGGAAGCATAAGGTAGGTGTTTCTAATAAAATGGCCAGTTAGTGGAAGCACAAGGTAGGTGTTTCTGATAAAGTGGCCAGTTAGTGGAAGCACAAGGTAGGTGTTTCTAATAAAATGGCCAGTTAGTGGAAGCATAAGGTGGGTGTTTCTAATAAAATGGCCAGTTAGTGGAAGCATAAGGTGGGTGTTTCTAATAAAATGGCCAGTTAGTGGAAGCATAAGGTGGGTGTTTCTAATAAAATGGCCAGTTAGTGGAAGCATAAGGTGGGTGTTTGTGCCTTTAATAATAGTTTGGAGTAGTTTCTGTGTGTTGATGTAATGTAGGTGGACTGGAGGAGGTGATTTTTGCTAGTAGATGTAATCTGGGTGTGTCTGGTGGTGTGTATGTCATTTCTGCTGAATGTGTGTGTGTGTGTGAGTGTGAGTGTGTGTGTGTGAGTGGTGTGTGTGTGTGTGTGTGTGTGTGTGTGTGTGTTTCTGTGGCCTTTGTACTCTCCCTCCAGCCAACCACAATACATTAACGTTTTATTGCAGCTGTTGATGTTCAGTCGGGCCTGAACGACAGGAAATTGATACTGATATTAAGGACTTGAAAGTTCAGATAACTGATCAACCCATATGAACATTGTCTGATCAGTACTGACTTTGCTTAGGTTTTTTTTTGTTTTTTTTGTTTTTTTTGGTAAAATGTTTATTTCTCTCAGAATGTGTGTTTGCAGTTGCAAAAGAAATTCAACATTTAACTTAAAACATATTTTAACATTTTTAACATCCTCTATCATAATGTATTTACTAAAATAAACGCAGTTGCATTATTTGTTATGTTATCTTGGGCTGGCATGACTTTACTTCTGAATTGTTCTTGAAAATTTCAGGTTCTGTTAAAATTTTCTTTTAAAAAATAAAAATTTTAAAACAAAACCTGAAATAAAAATGAATACAATTCTTAAAAAATAAGATAATAAACTCAGAGAAAAAGTTTTTTTAATATTTTTTATATAGTTTTTATATAGTTTAATTATAGTTTTTTTATATATATATATTTCTACAATCTACAAACTAAATGTACACAGAGGGTCCTGATGTCCCACCTCTTCCTCAGTCAGTCAGTCAGTGTGTGTATATGTTGTTGTGTGTGTTCAGAAGTAATGCTCTAATGCGATTGGTCAGATTGCTGAGTGAGCACTTAACTGGTTAAATGTTGAAGCTGATGGGTGTGACCTTTGACCCCCTGGTGGTTATGTGTAGGGTGTTAAGTGGATGCCCTGCGGGGGTCTCGTCTGGGCCTGTGTACCCCCCGAGAGGGGGGATTAAAGGGGGATCCGGGAGCTTCTGCAGATTAAACCCCCAACAGCTGCTGCAGACAACACTGCAGACACGTGGAGGAACACTGTGGACCTGCTGTGTGTGTGTGTGTGTGTGTGTGTGTGTGTGTGTGTGTGTGTGTGTGTGTGTGTGTGTGTGTGTGTGTATGTATATAAGTTTATATATGTATATGTGTATATAATCTTTATTTATAGAGCACTTTTCATGCTGGTGGCAGCTCAAAGTCCTTAACAGACAGGTGATTAAGTTTAACAGTAATATAAGAAATTATGAGTCATTTAAAATAAAATAAAATCATATAAAATGACAGATCAGATTAAAAGATTAAAACCACGAGATGTCGTTTTAAATTAAATGCTAAATTAAAGAGATACGTTTTTAGATGCTTCTTAAAAGGTGGACTGAGTAACTGAAAGATGCATCTCCATATTTTCTGTGTATATGTATAAAAATAGTCATTGCTGTCTAAAGTCAAACAAGTACAGTGTAAGTTAATGTGAATGTTATATATGATATACAATATATGCTCAATAAATATAACTCAAAACTACTCAGCTTGAAATCATAACTTTTTTAATGGATTGTAATGTTATGTACAATAAATTGGAACGACACAGAAAAACATACAAAAACTGAATTTATTCAGTACTCGACAAAGAAGCCTTCGTTCGCAGTGACACCTTGAAGATGCCTTCTGTATGAAGACGCCCACTCTTCTACACAGGTGGTCTTCCGATGGGAAGCAGGGTGAATCTTGATGTATCGCTGCTGTCGGAACAAAACCTCGTATCTCCAAAATGGTAACTTTACAGGAGAAGGAAAAAACCTACTCTACTTTTAATGTACGTCAATGGAGCCAGACTTCTAATTCAATTTGTGCCGTTTTCTTTTGGTCCATTCATCATGAAATTTACACACAATGCATCATTTCATGATGAATGTATGAACAGAAATGCTCCACAACTGCTTAAAACAAAACATTAACAGCTTATAAAGGGCATAAGTTGTTGATATGATGTGTCAAAATTTCATGATAAATGGACCAAAAGAAATAGCCGCTTTTCTCGCATCTCCAGCAGGAAACTTTTCCTCACAAGTAGAACAGTTTCTGGTAAAACGTCTCTCAACGTTCGACTTTTTACGAGACTGCAGTCGCTTCTCGTTCGAATTCTCCCGTTCCACCTTAAATGGTGCCTGAGGGGCCAGAATGTAACTGCTGCACCATTTAAGGTGGAACTGGAAAATTCGAACGAGAAGCTGGCGAATGAGACACTTCAACTTCAGGACTTTTTAGTGTTTGTCAGTTTCTCGTTGCAGATTAATCGTATCAGGAAACCAGCTGGAGTGATTATAAACACTAATAAGTCCATTCGTCTCCAAATTATCGATGTCCATCTTAAATCTCTCTGTTTGTCGTTTCGTTAGCTACTAGCTAGGCGAGACTGTTGTCTGTGTTGCTATGGTGACCAGCAGTCTGCGCTGATCGTCAGGGTTAAAGGGTGAATTAGCAGTTCTACATTAACTCCAGAGTTTAAGACCATTTATTGTTAAACTGTGTTGAACGACCAGCAGAGCTTTATTTTACTGTAAAGGAGGATTATTTTATTTTTACCTACTAATCTGATTCAGCTGTGGAGCCACAACAGGGCAAATGGTCTAAAATTACGTGGAAAAAAATTATTTATCCACTTACTTCCATTAAAAGTTGTTTTTTGCTTGTCCTATAAGCGCATATATATATATATATATATATATATTTTTTTTTCGCTGTTGTCGGAAGAAAACTTACTTTACAGGAGAAAGAACTAACATTCCCAACTTGTAATGGAAGTCGATCTAAAGATATTTTAATAAAAAAACATAAATTTTGAACCGTTTCTGTTGGTGTTATGCCATACCAATAACTCTGTTCAATCTGAATATCAGTCGATTGATTTACGGGACCGCAGTGTATGTGTGGGCTGGTAATTGTGCTGATACAGTGTTGCGGACCCCCGGCTCAGCTCCGAGCTGCTGTTTTAACAGGACCGGCTTTGTCTCCCGCAGAAAGGCTGAGGCATCACTAAACTCTTTTGTTTGAGCCGATCCGGCCGGAACACGCACGTTTACTGAGAGCGAGCTGCAGCGCTGCTACTGTCTGTAACAGCATCAGCCTGAACCAGCCGGAACAAAGAGCTCCCATCATTAAAGCCTCATTTGGACGGGGGCAGAGCTCCCAAACACAGCGGGAACAATAGAGGAACGGCAGAGCCGGGGGTGTAGCGCTTTGACCCGCCATCAGTTCCCACCAAACAGATAGCAGCACACACCACTCTGCACTCAGACTGGCTGGGACAGGTGTGTGTGCAGTAACGTGCATGTATCGGCCCAAGACAGGGGTCACAACCCAAATGTTAAGAAGAGCCATTCAACAAAAATCAAACCACAACATTTTATGTCCATTTTACCATCTTGGCTGTAAATATGTCTCAGTGTGTGCTGATGTGCTGGTGTAGGGTAAAAAGACTTGCTTTGCTCTGCTTTAATCTTCAGCTCAGCTGTAGCTGCTTTTCTCGCATCTCCAGCAGGAAACTTTTCCTCAAAAGTAGAACAGTTTCTTGTAAAACGTCTCTCAACGTTCGACTTTTTATGAGGCTGAAGTCGCTTCTCGTTCGAATTCTCCCGTTCAACCTTAAATGGAGCCTGAGGTGTCAGAATGTAACTGCTGCACCATTTAAGGTGGAACTGGAAAATTAGAACGAGAAGCTGGCGAATGAGAAACTTCAGCTTTGCGACTTTTTAGTGTTTGTCAGTTTCTCGTTGCAGATTAAACGTATCAGGAAACCAGC